AAAAATTATTGATATTATTATTCAATTCAGTCTTCTACTTGCTCTTGGATTCTCCCTTTCGTGGTCACCATCTCCTTCAGAGCTCTCACTCATCCTCTTATTTAACCCTTGAGTCACACTGGAGTTTTTAAAGATGCCACTCTGTTTTCTACACATGGGTTTTGCACATGCATAGATATCATAAACATCAGTTCCTCTGTGAAGACTTTGTTCGTTTCTTATATTGTGTAAATAGATTCCTCATATCTGCTATTGTGAACATGACTTTGTTATCAGATCTATAGGGTAATTGTGCATTTACCTGGATTTCTTTTCCTTTAGACTAACATAAACCAAAAAACAACCTGACTGTCATCCGGTCCTTTTCAACTCATAAGTGACCCTACAGGACAGAATAGAATTGCCTATAGGGTTTCCAAGGCTGTAAACTTTTATGAAAGCAGACTGCCTCATCTTTCTCCAGTGAAACAGCTGGTGGTCAAACAAAATGCCTTAACCACTATGCCACTAGGGCTTTTTCACACCAAAATAGGTACTCAATAAATCCATATAAATGAATATTCTAATAATTTATGGACCTGGGGAATTATTGCTGTGTTTCAAGAATATAAAGCATAAGTTGTTTCTTCATCTATATTAAAGACTTCTGCTATTGTTGTCATTCCCACTTTGTAAGGCTATGTGACAATCAGAGAGATAATTGAGATGATAATTTGTCTGCAATGTGAAATCATTATTATTTTAAAACTCATTGTGAATCCGCGAGTCTGTGAGAATGAAAATGATGTAGGTATCATTTGGGTCACCCAACCTAAATGTTTATGCCATACACAATCGCTTGGGTTGCTGAACAAAGTTTGATTAATAATTGCCTGACCTCCAGTGGCCCTCCTTGAGAAACAACACAAACCTTAGTCCAGAAATATATCAAACACATTTGCACAGGACATCCCACATTAATTTCAGAGAAAACTAATTTTTATTCTATTTTGTTTGAATCCTTAATTTTATCCCCCAAAATTAAATAATCTCAACTCATTCAGCAAAGAACATGATGGAGGAATAACTGAGGATCATCTAGAATCATTTTAGTTACTTAGTCTGTATCCATATCCTACATAAAGAAGATATAAAATTTTGATTAGTATATGCAAGGTAAGGAGCTCTGGTGTCATAAAGGGTA